TTACGAGATTAATAACCTGTTGTATATAGGTAAACAACCACGTATATACGTAGGTATTTCCTGGAGGATAGATAATCTTCAGTATATGAAGGACTCATCCGAAAGAAAGCGGAAATGCCTGTTGTATGGAAATTATAATTAATTAAAGAGCTGCCTGCCAGTAAAGCGGCCAACTAGTCTGCCGATTCCAATACAATCCAAAATATGAAACAAGGCGTAGCCTGCAACAGACAACAAAAAAAAAAAAAATCTAAACACAAGCAACAAGAACTACTGACAATGGAAATTAACTAAATTAATGATCAATCGTCTCCAATAAAATTGGCCGTCAAATTGGATAACGAGCCATGTTCTAATATTACTTTAATATGTTATCGTCTAGAATGTAGCACCATAAATTTTAATCACAACTTTTATGGATCTTTGGAAGAGATACGACTACTCAAAAAAACAAGGGGGGAAAAGTAATCAGTGGTGTTCTAGTTTTTGCTCTTTAATATGTTATCTTCTAGGATACAGTACCATTAATTTGACGGAAAAACTTTTACAGAACAATGGAAGGAATATGACCCTAATTGAATATAATAAATTGATGAATGAATAAAGAGCAAACAGTGTTTCAATGAACCAGATTTGCGCCTACATAGGTTGTATATATAATATCATTTCGCATGCGCAGTTGTTTTGAACACGAAGAGCATGCCTACTCAGTTATCTTGGAATGGCAAACAGTATTCATCCCACGACAAAAGATGGATCCATTTGTGCCATTAATTTATTTCTTAGGAAAAATTAAACAAGAAAAGGAAGTATGATTAACTTATTATAGTTTGAAATCACTAAACTGTCGGAGTTGATTATTAGGAGTAGGTTGTTTCTTGCCCATTGTTTGATTTTTAGGATCCAAACCATCCGCTGATTTGAACTTAATTCTTAAACAGCAACCCTCCTTATAGACTAAACCATGCTAGCTTCTGAGATTTAAGTCAGCTTAGTGTTAATTTTTTTGTTTTTTGGGATTATAACATACACAGTGTGAGTTCATGACCCGAGTAGACTTGTTCTAGACCCAAGTCCAACTTGATTCAAGTCATTTTTTCATTTATAAAAAATAAAGCTTATAACACAGCAATTTTCATCATTCTGTGTCAACTTATATTTTACAAAGAAAAGGTCCTGAAATGTATAAATCTTAATTTCTTAGTTTATAATAGATTTTTTAATTGTACTGAATATAACTGTTACTTTATACATGTTGGAAATTGCTGTGGATTATGAAGGTAGCTTTAAGTGTCATATAAACTCAATCTCATGATATATGTTTATAAAATATTAAATTTTATGATTAAATCTAAGTGGGGGCAATTGAGCTTATTATTGTAATTAACTAAGAAAAAGAATACCGCGTAGGCACAGGATCCCATTGACAAAAGGATAGCAGAGTCCAAAGCATCAAGCATGCACCAAATTTATGGGAAGAAGAGAAGAATGTCACGTGGAGAGAGAAAGGAAAGGCACGTGCAAAGAAGGTGGGGTTTGTGGGATCGTTTGTACGTACGCGTTGAGAGAAAGGAATCTGCTCGTGATCGGAGGAGGCATATGGAAAGAGGATGAAATTAAGAGAGAGAAAGCATCGAAAGCAGAGAAGGAAGCGTCAAAGGTTGTTTAGCTGTCAATCCCTCCAAATCCTTCTCACGGGAGCGATTTCTACCTCTCTCTCTTACTCGCCGTCATGATTTTGTCCCTCTCTCATGCAAATATATGTCACCCCTTCCTATTTCTCCCTCTACACCTTATATACTAAAATGCCCCCCTCCCGCTCCCCCCCTCCCTCCCCCTTCCACACCTTCTCGTTTCTTTCTATGGCTGTACACAAATCTGGTCACCTTTCCAATCAAGACTATTAGATTATCATTCCTTCTTGTTGTTACTTAACATCATTGACGCATTTGAGTGATTATTTTATTCAGTTTTTCTTCAAAGGGAATGCATTCGTTTGGATTATCCATAGTGTGAGACTTTTAAGATCTCTTACATGTCTAGATCATGAGTTACACAACTATCGATCCATGTAATCTTTTTTATGAAATTACTCTCTCTCTTTCTGTTTTTTTTATACCCTATGATATAAGCAAAGAATAAAGTTACCTAGATAGAACAAGAAAGAAACTCAAAATAGTAAGGGAAACCGATGCAATTTTTTTTTCAAATGCATGACAATCCCCAAGCTAGCTACTATTTTTGACTAGGGTTTGGCTAGTCAAGAGAGAGAGAAATGGAAACGTTGGAATGAGCACACGATGTTGATATTGTTTCATTAATTTGTTTTAAACAAATTCTACCATGTATGAGCTAGATGAGACATGTAATTGAAAATAGCTATATTAACTTAAATTGGACCAGGCATTTTACTAATTAGTCGAAGTTATACTTATCAAATTATAGCCCCATTTTAAACACCCAATGTTATTAGGATTTTTACTTTGAGGTTTCTAATTTATTGAAAATTATTTTTTTATAATTTGTATAGAATAGGAGATTAGAATCTAATTCTTTGAACCTATTAAGTCAGATATTCAAGCACTAAAATGATAAATACATAAGAGTTTATCTTTTTTATGCAGTGACGTCTTTTTATCATTTTTTATATACTTGACATTCAAGTATTTGACTTAATGATTATTACATAATCTCCTATTCAAAAAGAAATGTTAGAATCTCCTTCTTCCAAAAAAAAAAATAAATCATATGTCACAATTAGATTATATGATTCAAAATTGGAGTTACCGTGGCTAAGAGTTATCGGGTTTTATTTTTTATTTTACAAGTGAGAGTACTAGATTCAAACTTAAAATCTCAACTCAAAATCTACTGCTTGCCACTTCAAGCAAATCCAAGTTACTTGGGAGCTATTGAATTTTGAAATACAAATCCCTATTCTTCATTGCATCTTTAAATATAATTAATAATTAAATCTATAATTAAACTTCTTTATTTAGGTCAGAAATAACTAAGTTTTTAAAATTCAAAAAAAAAAAAAAGAGAAACAAGATGAAGAATGTAAACATTATTTTAAAAAAGGCTTATTATATGCAAAATTACATAAATATTGGTCCAAATCTACAATTGTACTCAAGATCAAGACTCATATCGACATTATACCATTCACTCCTAAAAATAGTGTGAAACCTCCTAGAGAAAATCCCCAAAACATCATGGATCCACCTAAGGAGATTCTTTTCTTCCAAATCAATATAGACAGTAAATATACCTAATATAATTATTTCAAAGGACTTTAATTGGACCATTTAGATTTTTCGTTGAAAGGCAATTTAGATTTCAAAAGCACCCAAAATTAAGGGATAAAAATTCTACATTTAAATTCTAAAAAATAGAAAATAAGCTCAAACATTATAAATCTTGGTTGTAAAATCTTCTACATATAATATTTCATAAGGCATTCAGTCAATTTCAAATCTTTGTAGCTTGAAATCTTGACAACTGAATTAAATTGATGGATAAATTTGAAATACGTAGGTACCTAATTATGTGGAAAACTCCTAGAACTTGTAACCCTTGAATCAATACAGAGGTTATATACTTTACCCACTCTTCATTGATTAATAATTAAAATGATAATGGTATGACAATATAGAGGCATTGTGCCTATAAAATTCTAGTATTGTCTATGGTGTAAAGGTCATTTTACTTGTAGGTCGTTATTAATTTTGTTCATTCAATACGAATTAAATAAGACATTCGTACAATTAATGTGCCTTACCTGATCCATTAAGTGGTGATCATCTTATATCTTATACAAAAGAAGTCATCATTCATATATGTTATTAAATCTTTTTTTTTTTGAATTCAGCTTATGTCATCGGTCAATTCTTATATGTTGTTGAACTTAAACTTAAATAAAGGATTGTATGATTTACAATACAAAACATTTTTTTTTGTATATATGAGAGAGGTATAAGAGGGGGCAAAAATTCAAATATTTGACCCTAATCCTACTTAAGTTTAAGTTGTTACAAAATAATAACTTTACACACATAGGTATATGTGACATAAGTTTGTCTGTGCATACGAGTAAGGGAATGTCATTTTAATTGCCATGTTAGCCTTTTCTCCTACCTGATGTTGACATAAAATTAAAAGATATTTTTATTTTATCTTTTCTTAATTCGTATGAATATAATTTTTTATTTTAGTTCCAATGTCAACATCATATAGGAAAAAAAGACTAAGATAATAGTTAAATTGGCATTCCCTTAGAATTTAACAGAGGGTAATAGTAGATTGTCTAAGTGAAGTAATGTTAGTGACTAAAATAAAAATTTTAGGATAATGGTAGCAAAAATATAGTAATCTGACAAATTGAAGTAATTAATATTGTAATTTACTCTACACATGTACACATATATACATCTGCCTACGTATGGAAGCTCATATGGTTTTGAAAAAAGGGAAAATACTTCCATTTCCATAAACTCTAACATTTACAAAATTGGAATATCAAAAGCTCTTCATTTTTCTTCTTACATAAACAGGACTTTTGAAATTGATTGACAATTTTCAATTCTAGTCTTTGGAATGTTCCTTTAAAGACAAACCATAATAATATGTTATAAGCATGAATTCCACATAAATATGATTACAAGTAAACAAATTAAATTCATGTACCAGACCCCAACAAGTACTGGTTTGAGATTAGGCATTTGTGAAAAAAATAATTTGGTTGTAATTTTTTTTTATATCGCCCCTTTTTTCTTTTTGTGTCTCCTAGAATATTCATTTATTCTTTTCTGTTGAATTTTGAAGCAACAAAGTCTTTGTGAATCAAAAAGGTCAATTCCGTAAATTGGGTATGTTGAATAATTATTTCATGTGGGGGAACGGAGGCCCTCATGCAGGAAACAAACAACTATACAACTACATCATGTAGGTATGGGATGAGCTGCTCCTTTAAATACCCCTCAAAGACCTGCAGTGAAAAAGAAAAAGGGCAAAGGCCAAAGATTTTGACAATATAAAGTTGAGCTAAGGATTAGAGGCAGCATCATGTCTTCTAGAGATCGAAAGAAAGCAGCTGTTTATCAGAAATTGCAGCAGCTTCGCTCTGTTGCCAACTCCAGTGCTGTAATTTGCCCTAAAACTCTTAATTTTAAGCATAATAATCGAAGTTTTTCTCTCCTGATTCTTATCGTTCTTTTCTATTCTATCTTAACAATGAAACCATGAGATAACATCAAGAACAAGAACGCCTAAAAGCATATGTTGAATCAAAAAAATCCCTACATATTTAAGTCCGTGAGATTAAGAGCAGGTGTGAAGACCTTGTTGATGGCGTGAGGGTGACGATGATCATGATATTTTATTTCGTTTTCTATTTGGTTAATTATTGATTCTTATGTTGTGGGCAGGTGAACAAGACCTCAATCATTGTAGATGCATCAAGATATATAGAGGAGTTGAAAGAAAAGGTGGACAAACTGAACCAAGAAATTGAAACTTCACAAATTTCAACTTCCCAGAATCCTCTGCCTATGGTACTGAATATATATATACATATCTATATATATACATATATATATATATACATACAAGCGTGTTTCGCTTATTGATTTAAACATTTCTTCTTGTTCTCCTTTTCTGCATCTGCTTGCTATCTAACTAGCAAGCAAAACAACCCCACACGCTTCCTTTATTGATTTTAAGTTTCTTATTTGGTTTCAGCAGGTTACTGTGGAAACCCTAGAGAAAGGTTTCCTTATTAATGTGTTTTTGGAAAAAAACTGCCCCGGTTTGCTTGTTTCCATATTGGAAACCTTCGAAGAGCTTGGCCTCGACGTGCTGGATGCTAGGGTTTCTTGCGAAGACAATTTCCAACTAGAAGCGATTGGAGGAGAAGTAAGTATGGTAATTCGATAATTATTTTCTCTTTAATCCCAAAGTGGGGTTTCAATTACAAGAGAAGTGAATTTCTTCTGGCACAATTGATTATACATTCGAATGCGATTCGGATATGTCTTGTCATGTAGGGTTTTCCATTTCCTTTCTTTTCCCTTTTGCCTTTTGGACTAAAAGCACTATCTGGTTTAGTACTTGTGCATTTTACTTATTTGGTTCGATTTTTTTATTTTAAAAAAAAAAGGAAGACAACGATGAAGAAAGAAGAAACCTCACATGTAAATTGTACAACATGGGTTTAAACCACACAATTTTAAAATTTTTTTTTTCATTAATGTACCGTCACAATAATGGGTGGTTAGCATTGGATTCATATCTTGCTTGGATGTGCTACGAGAAGCTAATGGTACTTTGCATTGACTGCACTTTTTGTTCTTTTAATTTTGATTTGTATACCCCTTCTTTCCGACTCCTTTTAAACGCATTTTCTAACGCTAGAATTATTGATTTTTCAGAATCAAGGTAACGCTGAAGGCATCGATTCTCAGATGGTTAAGCAAGCAGTGCTGCAAGCGATCGGTAAATGGAGTAAAACTGGCGAGCAGGATTAGGACTTCTCTCTGTTTTCTTTTGGATTGGATCTCTTCATCGATTCCTTTGATGGGTTGCAGTTGCATTGTAACAACTTTATCTTTATCAATGGAAGTTTTTAACTTTTAATTTTTCTTTATCAAAAAATAACCCAGATACCTTGCATCATTAATTTATTTTCTAACAAAAATAATACTGCAGTAATAATGATACCATAACAAATAGAAAACCTCTGTGCACGGTAAAAAACAAAAAGAGAAGACAAATAAATAATTTCTTATTTTATTTTTGCATAATTGTTATTGGTTTTTGGATTTAGTTTGATAAGTATTTGATGGAATAATGAAGTCAAGTGGCTACCTTCCTTGGATCTTTAGAACCTTCTTACAATTTTCAAGGAAAATCCTTCCAAGTTAGCTATAATTAAAATGGTTGCTGAATTGCTGATCAAAAGCTATCTAAAAAGTCGAGATAAGAAATAATAGCTGTTGATAAAGGACATTAGTACAGTACAAATTTCACATTGGATATATAGAATCTTGCGAAAGAAAAGTGCATAGTTAAACTTACATGATAATTTTTTTTTCTTCAAGTACGGGCTGAATTTTTATACTCTCTTTCTCTGTACTTTGTAATCCCCTGTCATGATCTTGCTCACCCTTATTCATGATTTTGACAATAGAATTGAGGGTTATTTGTAGTTTGAATACTCGTTATCTATGGTGTCCAGGATATAAATCTGTCATTGTAGAAAGAAAATGCAAACAATATCACATTTACCACAGTAAATAGATAAATTTTTAGTTTCTTTGAGTTCCCTACAAGAAATTTTACTTGTTGTCACTTTTATAACATTGCAAAATTTATCTTTTACAGTTTAAAAAGCTGTAACTGAAAATCGTGAATTATATTTCGCAGCAATAATATACATAGAAATTGCACTCAAGTTGAACAGGCTTAAAACTCATCTTAAACACGGGAACAAAGTATTCTTTGGCAATGTGGAGAGCACTATTAATGTTATGAAGAACAAGGTTGAGGAGTTTGATATTATCTGCAGCTTGAGGGACCTCGCAATGATGAGTGTAATGCTGAAAGAATTACCATTCAGCAACTATGGTCTGCCTCACGTCAACGAGAATCTATTTGGCGCTAGAAATCTCGTATCTAGTGGCTTTAAGGAAGGGGGTAGAAACACTCGCTTTTTCTAGTGCAAGGCTAAAGTTCCATCTTGCCGAAACTTTATAGCGGGAAACTTAATTAACGGCGTTTGGGTCTCTCAACCTGATGAGGTACGTCGTGTTACTTTTAAATTCTTTAAGAACTTTTTTAATTGCAACCATTGGCCCTGCCTAGTATTTGATTGCTTTCCGTTAAAAAGGTTAGCACTTATGATGCTAGTAATCTTAGGGCATCGATAACTATGGAGGAACTCAAGTATACCATAAGGGGTTGTGTCGAGGCAAAAGGCCCTGGACCCGACGAGTATAATCTCAACTTTTTCAAGGATAGTTGGGCTTTCATAAAAAATGATCATATGCCTTCATTTCTGACTTTATGTCTACCGGTAAGCTGCACAAATGACTTGACTCTTCATTTATTACATTGATTCCTAAAGTGCAATGTCTTACCTCTTTTAAGAGAGTACTGTCCCATCAGTCTTGTCAATTCCCTATACAAGATCATAGCCAAGATCCTTGCTAATAAGCTTAAGGCGGTCATATTTACAGTGATCAATGACTGTCACAGTGCTTTTGTTAAAGATTGTCAAATCATGGATGGTATTATGGTGATCAATGAAATCATTCATAGTATGACACACAAGCTTCAAGATGATGAGCGTATCATTCTCAAATTGGACTTTGGAAAAGTTTTTAATTGTGTTGATTGGGGTTACCTATTTTGTGTTAAGCAATCAATGGGCTTTAGGTATAAATGGTGTAGTTGGATTTGTAAGTGTATTTCTAAAGTGCAAGTCTCAGTTTTGATTAACGGTTCTATTATTTTGAATTCCTAATGAAGCGTGAGCTTCGCTAGGGTGACCCATTATCACCTTTCCTTTTATTATGGTAGTGGAAACTTTACACCTCACTCTTGTCAAGGCGAAATCCCTTATACGCTTTAGAGGTATTACTCTTTCTCCATATGGTTTCTCTATCTTTCAACTCTAGTTTGCAGACAACACAGTCATTTTAATGTGTCCGGAAGTCTAAGGTGCCCTTAATCTATGATGTATCTTGTGTTTCTTTGAGCTAGCTTCAAGCCTTCGCATCAACTTTCAACAGACATGCATCTTTCTAGTGGGCACTCTAGACTCTAAAAGCAATGAGATTTCTTCTG